AATAGCTGTGTGCAACGCTATCACAAATGCAAAACAAGCACCAAAATGTACTGTCGTCTGAACATATTCGCAAGCTAATGAAGCTAAAACAAAATCTAATATTAAGCAGATCAGACAACGGAGCGGGAATTGTGCTTTTAAAAGGACAGACTACATAGATAAGATGAGTGTGATTCTCTCAAACAACTGCAAATCCCAGAGGGAATCAAAGGGAGGGATCGAACAGAACAAATCGAACAACAATTGACGAAATACCTGAACTCGATGAGAAAAGAAAACCGTATAAGTGCCGCCACATTCGAACAATTGAAACCTCTTCGGTCAAATATTCTAAGGTTTTACGGACTCCCCAAGGTGCACAAGCCAAATCTACCATGGAGACCGCGATTGGATATGCGATAGCGAAATGGCTGACTCAAATGCTCGATCCGATCAGGAAGAAGATATCAAGGCACAGTTTGAGAGCACTTCCCATTTTTGTTGATCAAATCAAGGATCTAAACATCTCTTTTCAATCTACGTGCTCCCTACATGTAAACTCGTTGTTTACAAACGTCCCATTAGTCAAAACTATCAAATATTTGTGCACCTTTATGAAGGACCATCATCTGGAGATTGTAGTATCAATGAATAAGCTCAAAGAATTAATACTTCAATGCATATTTGATGCACTATTCATTTTCAACAATCATGGAACGGCTATGGATTCATCTTTGGATCCATTTTTGGCCGATATATTTATGGGTAAGTTAAAGAAAGCCATCCTCCGATCGATCATAGTAGATTTCAAAATGTACTGCAGATACATTGATGATACAGTCCTCGTTACTGATGAAAATGGAAATGGAGGCTTGGACGGAATACTGACATCATTTAACAATGCCGAACGATCCATAAGCTTTGCTATCAAAAAAGAAGGGAACGACTGCATCCCATTTCTAGATGTCTTTATCCGTAGAAACCCGGATTGATTCATCCGCCGGAACGACCACAGAAAGCCAATTTGAACAGGATAATGCACTAATTTCAATAGTTTCACACCAATTAAACAAAAACTAAACTTGGTCTAGCGAGACGAGCACAGAGAATCTGCACTCCGGACACGCTGATCAACGAAATGAATTAAATAAGAAACACATTTCAAATGGGAATTCGTCGTGTATATAGCAAATGAAGCGTGAACTGAAAAGCTCGGAAGCACTGGACAGCTGTTTCGACCTGGTTGGGTCTCATCACGAATTCCCATTTGAAATTTAACCAAATCCTCCATTACTCACATGGAAGAAACACATTACTGGAGAATGGCTATCCGGATCTCCTCCTTGACAAACACCTAGCAGTAACAACGGATAAACCAGAATTTAGCAAAGTGAGCACTAAAACCCTGTACCTGAAATTACCGTGCATCGTGGACAAGGCGGCGGTGGACTGGGTGACACGAACAGCAAACCAAACGCTGAGGATAACTTTCATTACGACAGCACAACGCATCAGTTTCTCCACATCGACTGTAGTTCATTTCCATCTCAAAGATAGATTGTCCTCTCAGGTCATATCCACGTGCATCTATTTATTAACTTGCTCCTGCCGAGCGAGCTACATAAGCCAGACAACGAGACAAGTGCTATCGGTGTGGCCCTGTAACTCAGCTGGTAGAGCGTGCACCGTACAAAAGTGTAGGCGGTGTCCATGCGTGGGTTCAAATCCTACCAAGGCTACTGAAATTTTCACAATCTCAACATCAGACTTCAATGTGCAAACAACAATTTGAACAAGGCAAAGGTTAAATAGAATAAAGGAACATCGCCCTCGATGGTTAGTGTGTTGGAAAGTGTTGTTTGAATTGATCGTTTGTTTTACCGCATCAATTGTGTTTTAATGATTGATCCGTATAAGACTTTAATTCTGCCCACCAAACAATCTGATTGGTTCAGGGTTATATATAAATGATTGTGATTCCCTTCCCAAATATCATTCGCGTCCATATGTCTAGAGCATTTCTTGAAGAACCGACTTTTGACAGTTAGTATACGGAGAAACGAGGACTGCGAGAAGCGCGAGAAGCTGACACCTACTCGAGAGTAATCACCAAGTGGACGTGAGTCGAGCGCCTTCAGGATCGTTTGTGGTACTTCAACGTTATCATCTAAACCCGTACACTTTATCTTTCTGTGCACGGCTGTCTGACCACCCCACCCACCCCCACTATACAATCAAAAGCGCCTCGTCCAGACGTTATCTCTACCGTGGTCAGTAGCCAAGCAAGGAACCGGCCGCCGTAAAGTTAGGTGAGTAAAGTAAAGCGAGTAAGTTTCATATAGTCCTCCAGGGCAATCACATCATCATTCTCATTTTGAGTTGTATGTTCCGCCTGATTACTAAAAGTGTCTGAAAAACCAAAGACTATTGTAAGGCTGAAAGGAAAAGCAAAGAGTTAATGGAGGTTCCAGATCGAAAATCGGGTCGCAGATCTATTGAAAAAAAGATAATTCAAGCAGAATCAGTGAAGATCACTCGAACAAAGTCCAACTATCACATCATTCGTGTACTTGTGTACAAAAAATAAAAGAATGGAGGTAAAACTTAAGTCCCGAAAATCCGCAAAATTAGTTTTTGAAGAGTAGGATGTGTTACCGTTACAAATGTCAGTTGAACCCCCCAACATCACTATCATCACCACCACCACCATCACCAACAACAACAACAAAACCACAACCACCACAACCATAATCATCAACACCAACACCACCACCAACAACAACAACAACAGAACCACAACCACCACAACCATAACCATCAACACCACCAACACCATCACCACCAACAACAACAAAACCACAACCACCACAATCACAACCACCATCGCCGACACAACCACAAACATCACCACCATTACCATGACCAACACCAACACCATCAACGCCACTACCACAACCACAACGACCATCCCCATCACCAACACAACCACAACCACCATCACCACCATTCCCACCACCACCACCACAACTATAGTCATCATTATTATCACCAACAACAACACCAACACATCCACAATCACCATCACCAACACGAACACAACCACAACCACCTTCATCACCACCTTCCCCACCGCCACCTGGGATACGGACATTCGATACACCATGTCCCCAGTCGCAGTCAGAAAGTTGCTGAATAAGAATACCCGAGTAAAGTGACCTTGGAACATTATCACACAATCAAATAAAATTAAACGAACGCAGGCAGAGTCGTTGCAAACTTGTGGTCTTATCAACGTGGGTGACTATATGAAGAGTGGATAGAGAAGTCTTGTAGGCAAATAGAGACATGAGCATCAAACATAACGGAGTCATCCGATTTAACAGCATGCTCTAAAAATTCTTCATTCCATTCTTCTTCCATTCTCCATTCCATCGCCTTATAATTGCTTGTAAAATGAGATTAACCAATTAAACGACTTAAGAAAGGCCTTCCAATAGGGATGGGACGTTATCACCAACGCCTTGTGTTTCGGTTTTTTTCTTTTGTCGTGGCTAAGACAACCTAATTTCCTCAACCTTCAATCATGATTATGTACCAACTAATCGGTCGATACTTAGAAGAAGATATTTTAGCGAGGATGGCTATCGTTCGGGGGGATATCTAGTTATTAGGTATACTCCCAGAGGACGTGAAGGAACTGAACATATCAGCGGTCGATAACGCCAGTTATACACCAGGACGGAGAGTCGTGGCGTTCACAGATTCAAAATGCATGCGCACTGCTGACGAGTCCCAAAACAAGACGAAACAGCTGTCCCGGTGCGCTGTTTGTCGATTGTCAAAAATATTTCCATCGCATGAATAACGAATCGTTCCGCTCTCAGATGGGAGCTGCTTCAACGCTGGCCACATATCTCGACAGTTGATGTTTCCCATAAAACAATCAATATACATCAGGTGTTACATCTTTACCTTTAACTGAAACTGATAGTTGTTTCACAACTATGTGCCTGCTAGTCTTTTACTAACCCCTGAGAAATTATTCTACTGCAAGGGAGAACAATCTAACGCGAATGGACTCGGAATGTCCTTGACCACGCATGCATGCCAATTCGAATGGAACACGAACAGCAAAGCTCTAAGGATCCTAGTTTGCTTTGCCCAAAACCTGCAACTCAGTCGAACGCATTTGGTTGGTGGAATTGTTGATTATTTTTCTACCCTACATGCGCTTCTCTGTGCACCCGAGTGTTCAACCATCGTCGTTTTGTAGGATTACTCAATTGTAGATCCATTCGGGTCAAACACGCTCCATACAGATGAATCCGCCGAATTCGGGGACCGATCGGAGTCATATGATCGGCGAGAAAGAATTCATCTGTTTTTTTTCCCAGAAGGATGTATCTACGATCTCGAAGATATTCCCATGCTTGCTTGATCTGTGGGAATTGACAGGTATGCGGGCATGTGTATTGATCTCATTTCTTTGGGACTGCACAATCAATTACCACATTTGAACTGCAACAGAGTTGCAGAGTGTGATGCCCTGCAAAATTTAAAATGAGCATCTGTTATGTCGTCTTCCTGTATGGTCTCCAGTAGTGCGGACGGAATTTCTATCTCTGCTGGGATCATGAAAATTCGGGTTGATGATGGAAGTCTTCAGACTTGAGAGTCACCATTGGCATAAATTTAGGTATTTTGGTTTTTTGTCCAGATAAAATCAAGGATAGTAAAATATGAGTAATTGAGGATTTGATCCAATTTCAAAGAGAAAATTCGTCATTCAAATGGCAAATGAAGTGTAAACTAAAACGCTAGGTGTTATGGCCGACAACTGACTGATTTGTGTTCATACATGGCTGTGGTCGAATTGATCGATCGATCCATCGGTTGATCGATTGACTGACTGTTTGAACTCTGGCTTGACGGCAATCGCATATACTGAGACGTGTGAACCGGACTCTGCCTGCCTTCCCAGATACTGATCATTCCTGATTGTTCCCCGGTTTGTGTACCGGCTACATATTTGCTGTCTACAATAAAATTACTGCTTCATTCGTTGTGTGCTCCTTTGCCTACTAAATTTGGGACACAACATTTGGTGTCGCGGCCACTGAACCTGCAAAATGTTTGGTTTACCATTTACTATTCATCAATTTTGGAATGACCCTGCTCTCAAACCATCCGACGTGGATTCAAATACATGGAAGACCACGTTCGTGGATTACGTTGCAGTTTTGCTTGCATCCAATCCTTCACTGAAACTTACAAATGAATTGTGCGTAAAATTACTACGATTGGACCTCGGTAACGAAGGCAGGCTACTCTTTGACAGGTTGAATTCGGATGACAAATCAGTGAAAGATGTCATCGCTAAACTAGACAGATACTGGGGCGAATATGCGAATGAGCAAATATTTCTAATTTGGGACACAACACTAGGAAGCACTGGACAGTAACTCCCTCGCTGCAAGAGCTACTGAGCTTCACGGGGGGGGGGGGGGGGCGGCCNNNGCTCACCTCTGAGTTTGCTCCGCTATGGAGGATTCGCAGAAAACTCAAAATCCCTTGGTCCAGCAGGGTAGCAAAGGCACCAGCCCGAAAGCGTTAAGCTTGGAGGCAGTACCTCAGGACTCGAAGTCATCAAAGGTATCTCCAGTACCTCAGGGAGAGACATAAGGTGATAAGTGCCCAGGCGGCTTACCGCAGGGTCTTCAAAACGAGACTGGCACGGAGGATTAAAGAATGCTCCAAGGTATATACTGATTAGAGGTGAGAGGTATTCTTAAGGACCAGAGCAACCACCCAGTCCTAGCCAGCTCAAAAATAGCGGAAACATTCAGACGCTTCTTGGAAGCAGTCCACGTTAGGGATAACGGGGCACCCGGGAGACAAGAAACTCCGAGGCTCATCCAAAGTCAAAGTCAAAGTTTTATTATGGGAATAGCCTACAAGCTGGTGCTTCTCTTGTCCTATAGGATGTTTACACAGATAAATCGTCACACGTCGAAAAAGGAGTCGCATAGGGATCCGGGTAGGAGATAAAGAATGTAGGCTACAGTGAATTTCTGTTTGCTTTTAGTGTAAGAATGTGAGGTTGCCCAAGGTTTCGTAGTCTCTGCTTGAAAGATTCAATAGTGGGTGGGTGGTGGAAGGGCGTTCCAAGATTTGCATATTCTGACTGCAAAAGACTGGCACCGGCAATCCGGTCGAGACTTTGGAATCAGTAGTTTGAAACGGTGTCCCCTTAGGTGCATATTGTTCGATAACATGAAAAGCGATCGACAAGGATGGTTTTGGGTTCTTCAGTATTTGATACGTCAAAATCAAGTCTCCTCGAGTTCGGCGGTACTGAGCAGAATATAGTCCCAATGATCGCAATCTGTCCTCGTTTATCAGGTAATGGAATCCCTTGACCATCTTGGTGGCCATCCTTTGTGGACGCTCAAGCATCTTGCGATTACGTTGAAGCCATGGACTCCAAGTTTGGATGGCGTACTCTGCATAGGGTCGAATGTACGCGGATAGCAAACGTGGGAATAGTGATGATTCAAACCGACCAAACACTCGCCGAAGTAAGCCGACATTCTTCATAGCAGCAGACGAAGCCTTAGCACAGTTGTTGGAGCAGCTTATATCCTCTTGAACAATAATACTTAAGTCCTTTTCGCTAGAAGTATGTAGATCATTTACGAAGGCGAGGAACAGACGGGGACAGAGTACGGACCCTTGTGGAACACTACGGGTGGCTTTGATGGGTCCGGATACAAAATCAGAAACACGAACTGATATGGTTCGTTGATCGAGGAATGCTTTGA